CAGGAACCGGTATCGAAGTCAAGGTATCGGTATCGGTATCGGTATCGAAATTTTTTGAACGATACCCAGCCCTACGCAGAACATTCACGATATTCACATATTAAAAGAGTATTTTTGTTGCTTAATATTCACAGACACTAGTCCATATTGTGCTTTGATTTAAGTGTACTGACCTACTTTTGATTTATTCATCCAAAATGTAGCAAATTCCGTGACATTCCACATTATACAGTAAATTCCATTTTTATGACTGGATTCCACGATTCCGTTTGTGTTTTCCTCATCGCGGAAATTGTAGAGCCCTACAATATCCTTGTGCACACTATAGTAAATTAATTGACTTTTATAAATTTGAATCTTAATTTCTTTCTTTTTCTCCACACAGCCGTGCTATCAAGACCAACCAGGACCTTCTCCCTGAAACGCCTTGGATCAACATCTTCTACGATGACTTCTGGGGGACACTTCTCACCCACAGTGGTAGCCACAAGTCCTACCGCCCGCTCTGCACGCTCTCTTTTCGACTCAACTACGCCCTGGGTGGCATAGATCCCTGGGGTTACCACCTGGTCAATGTGGTTCTACACTGCACCACGACCGCCCTGTTCTCTAGCCTCTCAAGCCTGCTGCTGGGGTCGGGTTGCTGGAGCCTGCTGGCCGGGCTTCTCTTTGCCGCTCACCCCATCCACACCGAGGCTGTGGCGGGCATCGTGGGCCGGGCCGACGTGGGAGCCGCCCTCTTCTTCCTCCTGGCAATGCGCTGCTACATACGCCACTGCTCCCTGAGGACGAGCGGTGCCCATGGATGGAGTTGGACGTGGGTCTTGGGCACCTTGGCGTGTGCTTCCTGTAGCATGCTGTGGAAGGAACAAGGCGTGACGGTGCTGGCCGTGGCTGGCATGTACGACGTGTTTGTCTTCAACAGGTTGAAGCTGCAGCAGGTTCCCGCGCTCTTCCAGAAGGTAAACAGCCTTTATCCACCATTTGGAAAACCAGCTGTGTTTTTATATGCGTGTATCTGATTTCCTAAACTCTTGCTGTGTTTGGAGGAGCCCAGCGATGTGTGGATGGATAGTGCATGTGTGTGCTGGTGGATAATTTGTTTAAAAGTACATATGTGGTGTTTGCTTTCCATCGGGATGAAATTTGGAAAACATTTTGGCATGTATGTTCAACTCAGTGAACCATAACAAACCGTAACGTTTTTTTTCTTCTTCGTAACACTAGAAAAATGCAAGAGCGGAGAGCAATCAAATGAAAATTGGTGTTTATTTGGTGTATTTACATACATACATCTGGCCAGAGATGTTTGTGTTTTTGCTTGGCAGCACACAATGACCTGTAATTGCTAGAAAATGTTTCTGCACCACATCAAATTTCGGCAACCTTATTGCAACTATGTTCACCTCCTTGATTTGGAGTTTGCTGAAGGCCGGCTCTTTAAATTTAAATGACCCGTTCTGCTTTCTCAAACTACCGTTCATCCGAACCCGTCATGGGTGAAGTCAGTCCCCAGTAAACTCCTGTTTTTAATGAACCCTTTATAATTGGAAAATTTTTGAGTGAGGCCAGAAAAGGCCTGGCTAACGTTCTGAAATTGTTTTATTAACAGCCAGAGTGCAATCGTAACAAATGCTCCTTTAATGACGTCTAATGATGTGGATGTATTGTGTTTACATGAGAACAGTAATTAGCGAGGTGATCACTCATAAATAGCAGCAGTCAGTGAGTGTGTGAAACGAGGTATGGTGGAGAAAGTAAGGACAGGGAAATCAATGATATTAGAAGGATTGCATGAAGTGATGCCTTGCTCCTTAGTTTGCAGATCTCTGCTCTTCAAGCAACCGACCATCAGGTCGACTTTTGCTCAACCCTGGCTTGTCAAGAGGATTTACCATCGACCGTCAAAACACACTGACATTCATAACCATCAGCCAGTCAGCACACACGAAATTGACGTGTGCACAAATGGGACTGAGAATTACAGACCCATTGAACTCACATGCCGGAGTGTAAAGTTTTTTTTTTTTTTCTCTCTCTCGAATAAATCGAATCTAATTAATGTTTGCATTCATGTTCATCAGAAATAATAAACTACAATAAAAAACTACTTTTTTATTGTAACTGTTGATATTAAAAATATATTGGTCGCTATTGATTATTTAATTGCCCATGCCTGTTTCTTTCATTTTGTAAGAAAATTTCATTTTGTTTCATTTTCTTTCATGTAACGCTCATTTAAAAGGATAAAATTAAAATTTTGTCATGTTTACTCACCCTTGTGTTGTTCCAAACCTGTATGAGTTCATTTTTTTTTTTTTCATTTTTTTTTTTTTTAATGTAAAAAACAAGATATTTTGAAGAATTTTGGTAAGTATACAGTTGCTGGTAGCCATTGATTTCCATAGTATTTTCTTCCCTACTATGGAAGTCAATGGCTACCTGCAACTGTTTGGCTACCAACATTCTTCAAAATGTCTTCTTTTGTGTTTAGCAGAAAAATTAAACTCCTACAAGTTTGTAATAGCTCAAGGTTTGCATTCTCTAGGTATTTACCTGTTTTTTCCTTGTTTATCTGTCTGTATTGCTTTGTTTGCTTAATTAAAAAAAAACAGCTGAAGGTTGAGAATATGATGACAGAATTTCCATTTTTGGGTGAGCTATCCCTTTAAAGTTAATCTTTAATAATTTAATAATACTGTTACATAAACAAATATACAACAATCATACATTTTTCAATCTGTAACTGAAAATTGTGTGATGCATAAATTATTTTCTTATCCATTTAGACAAAATAGTAGTATATTTTTTACAATACAAAATAATATTGGTTATCGGCCATAACATGAAAATAATTAGGCCTATTGCTTTTTGTATAAGCCAATTTCAATATTATCTTCTACCTTCCAGCACCTATAGGTAGCTGTTTAGATTGAGATTACATCATTTATTCTTTTCAAAATGTATTTAAAATAAATGGATGATGTGCATTTTATGTGTGTTAGAGAAAAAAATCGTGCTCATAATGAAAGAAATGCTCCTTAAAAAAGGCAATTTTGGCCCTTAAATTTTCTGACAATGTACATTCTTGTATGGTTTGCGCCTACAAGTGTATTTTGAACCAGTGCTGCTTCTCTTCTCATCACAATGGCCTGTGACATGTCAGAGGGAGGCCAGTCTGTGATGCTGTCTGCCTCTGGCTTCTTCATAGACTACAGCAGACAGGCCCTATGATGGCACATCACTTCAGCCTGGGAAGTCTGGCCTGTAGGTGACAAAAGAGCATGATCTCTCATATCTGACAGCTCTCTGTGCTCTGATTGACCATCTCCTCATCAATCATCAGCTCTTCTATCAGCCCCAGCTGTCATTTTAACTATATTAAGCCGTAGAGTAGAAATGCTTTGCTCCACAGAGTGTCAGAGAGCATTCGTTTGTCCGCGAGCCCATGTGCTTCACATATCCTTTCTGCATCAGGGCCCGGCTGTGTTTTCACATTGCTGTCATCCAGTTCAACAGTATTAGCACGTTGTCAGAGGCAAATAATTCCAGATTTTCCTCTTTGAGGAGAGACTGTGTCACTCTGACTTACGGCAGCTTAGCGTAAAGTAGAGTCGAAGGGGAAGCCAGAATTACTATGTAAACATATAAGCATCAAGACGTCTACGATCCGCAAGCCCAAGGACAAATACCTCTCATCTGCCAGGCGGCGATAATTCCAGAGATGAAAGCTGGATGGGTTTTAGCGAGGAGACAAACTGCTTCGTACATCCAAGGGCCTGAAGACTCATTCGCTATAATGAGACGATAAACTAAACGTGGAGGAATAAACTAAAAAGCACCAGCGTTTAGATGTTAGAGCGCATTCGTCAATGTGGCATAATAAACACGTCTATAATTCTCTTTGCCTGGTGCTGTACATTTGGTCTGTGGACTTGCTTAATGTATGAGGCATAGAGACATATTAATGGCCACTCCTCGTCCATCCATATTAAATGTGTAGGCTTGTATGAGAATAGCGATGTGATCGTAAATTGGGCCGCTTATCTGATTGTGGTATGCAGTTTATGACATCATCCAATAGCTTTATATCAATGCTAAATCATAATGTCTGCTATAAGTAAATGCTCTCTGGGCAGCTGGATTCAGGACGATCACTTATGGAGATAGATGGTGCATTCGATTCAATTATCTCAAGTTTAAGAGGGTCTGGTCGTTGTGAGGCTTCTAAACTGCATTAAAGTGTTTCTTAGAATCTCCCTGGTCTGCTCAGAATACTCAATTTATTTCCAGTCTTCTCTTGGATGCCACATTTAATTTGATGTTTAAAAATGAGGCTTTAAGAAATGGAAGTTCAGTCTGTTTAATATGCGATATTGTTTGTTGGTTCTTCATCTGAAAATGTCACTTCAAGGCAAAAAAGATTGTGGTTTTCATAACATAACCACATGATGACGTTGTGGACAATTATGTTAAGGACACACAATATTAAAGTTCTGGACAATACCGATAAGCTGTTAATTATTTTTACGGTTTGTGTGATAGATAAATGGATGATTTGAACATTTATACACTGAAAAAAAGGTGTACAAACAAATTTTTACTATTAGAATTACAAAGAAATAATGTAACAGTGTATTAAACATTAAATTTTGAGGTAGAAAAACTGAAATAATATTAAGTAAAATGTACTATAATAGTACTTTGGTGTCTAAACTAATTAAAGGTGAAAAACTAAAATTGATTGTTTGTGAATTTAGGCATCACAACATTGCATAATTGAAAAATGTACATGTGTTTTAGATAACAACAAGGTAATCTGTATGTAAAAATATACTTTAAATGAACATTTACAATTAAATATTCAACATCAGCCAGTAACGACAAATATAGATAAATGAGAAAATCTTAATATCCAATATGGTGCTGATATATCATGCATATGCATCCCTCAATAATGCTCATTTCCAGCTTTAAAATTCACCTGACTCTTGTGAAATAAGTTTGATAGCTGTATTACCTAAGCTGGGTTCGGTTATAACGGCATGGCTATTTTTCTTCAGCCAATTCAAAAATGGTGAGAAAAATAGTCATCCGACCTTAACTTCTAGGAGCATTTTTTTATTCTCTTAAATTGTAACCCAGTGTCACAAAGTCTTTTTCCATATCATTATAATCATTCACATGCTAACGCTCTTTTGCCTGGATCGGAGTGTAATGGTCTGGCTACACATTCCTCACACCTCTGCTGTCTCACCGTCGTAATGATAGCCAGACAGACTGATCTGCTGTGAATGCATAATGAGTTCTTTCCTCTCTTTCCATTAGAACCGTGATTCCATTACCACTGCAAACAGTTGTATTCTTCTCTGTTTTTGAGGCTTTATTAAGGCATTATTGTTGAGAAAAATCACACTTGCATTTACAGGCAATTTTGGGTAGCATTTTACTTATGTACTTCTGGCATGTTGGAAGTAATTTAAAGCTCTGTTTTAAAACCTTATGAGCTGATTGACTGTTTGCATCATAATCATGGAGCCTCCTAAATGACCAATTTGAAACACTGTTTCACACAAAATTCACAAAAACACAAAATTCAAACACTGTTTGAATAGGCAGCATGTCTGTGTGGCACACAAATAGTGCTCCATGTGGGATATTTGACTCAAATCATTTGATTCCAATAGAGTTTGACAATATCATGTTGCTAAGCCAACAGTAGGATAAGTAAATATAGGAAATATGCTATGGTGCTTTAGAATAGTGATCGACCGATATTGATATTTTATAACCGATACGATACCAATTATTTGCGTGTTTATGTGCCCGATAACCGATATGCAGAACCGATATTTATTTACTGTTATAAAGTAAATAAATGACTGAGTGAAGTAAGTCCATACTTCACTTTGTTTTTTCCTCCTTTCAGCAATCTTTAAAAAAAAGTGTTGAAAATTACCAG